AATGTGCAATTTTTTGAATTTCTCTTGGAGAAGGTGATAAAGCTTCAAATATAAATGGAGATACTGCTAATGTGAATACTCTTCTAGTGATAGGCATTAACTAAGGTATCAGTAAAAGCACCACTCTTCATAAGCACAACTAGCTGCAGCACTTAATACAGATCCAGGGAAGAGAGTATGTGTTTTTCAGCATTGATAAGCAAAGCCAGGACTGGGGCCCCAGGATTCAATCAAGATCTCAGCTCATTCCCCTTGCCTGCCCTTCATTCTCTGCTCTCCTCTCCAGATAGGACTAGATGTGATAGCAGCTTTATGAACTTGTAGAGAGGAGATGTCTAGATATAGATCATGGAATTCTGATTTGGTGATGCCAACAAGATACAGCTGTAGACTGTGCTGGGTCACAAAATGTGTATGCATTGGCATTGCATCAGCATACCTGGAGTTTCAGAACACGCTTCAAACATCTTGGTCTTCACAGACATCATTCATTGGGGTATGATATATTACACTGGGAGAAACCAAGGGCAGAGAGTGGGTGTCACTTGCACAATTAAATAGTGATTATGGGCCCAAATGTACCATTTGAGGCTGGCAATATTGCTATTAATTTCCAAGTAAGAAATAAGCATAACCAGTAGATGGCTGCATTACTGAAAAATTACTAAAAACATCCTCTTCTATGCTTAAGCAGGCATGCTATCTGTTGAAGAGAGCTTAAGACTTTTCCTGCTAGAAACCTGACTGCCTTACAAAACCAAACTGAACCTATTACCAAAGAAGGGAATCTCAGTAAATGGCCTTGTTCTGGGACAAATCCCCACTTATTTGAGTAAAATAACTTCCTTTGAAAATAATTTTCATCCAAGCAAACAATATTGGTAAATTTTATGTTTGCATGGGAAATGTGCCCTCATGTTATACTTGGGAAAACTCTAATCTCTGAAAAGTATGTCCTTTGATGTCCTGTGCATGCATTTAAGGTTCTTTGTACAAAGAAGGGTCAGGGAGATTTGGCTACTGCTTATGCAAAATGGTTGTTTAGTGTTCTAAGAATCTATTCATTTGTCAATGTCCTACAAATCCAAGTAGGCAGAGTTACTGGAACAGCTAGTACAAACATTTCCAGGACAGTGCTTGTATCTATTTACAACCTGCCTACAAGTTTTATTTATCTGTTTGAATTTTTAGGGCTCCCATCTCAGTTTCTGCCCAGAGAAGAGTCTACGTAAGAACACCCCTGTGCCAAGTTACCTCAGCTTCTCTTTGAAGTATTTCTTTGGGGCTGTACTGCTATGCTTAAATGCAGTGTTTTCTTGGATAGAAACATAACATAACAACTTCTTCACCCAGAATCATTTTCGCAGCATTAACTGAAGGTATAGGATAATACATAATATCTGAGGGTCAGGAGATTGATCACTGAACTTCATCTACTAGAGAAATTTAAATGACATTGAGGAGGTAGAAGGCTTAAAGGTGTTTCTGTTTGGTTTTGGTCATTTATATGACCATCTTCACAGAAACTGACAGAAAAAAAATGTTTTAGGAAAAAAATTCCCTTTTATGAATATTGCCTGCAGAGACAGTTAATGGTGTCTGGTCTGAACAGAAAACTCAGCTGTACAAAAGGCAAAACCAGGTTGTGCACAGGGTGGAAATGAAATGAAAAGTACCAACCACTACTTTTGTCCTGCAGAACACCTGTTTGCAGTCTAGATTTAACTCATACTGCAGGAAGAGCTACTGAGATTTTGTATGTACTCTCAGCTGAGAAGAAAAGTGAAAGATTAAGTTCGTATTAAAAATACATATCAAGATATCATTACAGCATTTCAAGGAATTTCTAAGTACCTACTTTAACGATTTTCTTCAGCCCAAAGTCTCATGATTGAAGAGTTTAGGTGAATAAACAAAGATTAAATACTGTCCCCACCCCTCCATTTTTATGCACATATATATTTAAATACATCATAATACTAATAAAGTTTGACAACAGCAGCTCTGGAGGAGGAAGAAGGAATGCTCTTTGGGTAGCAGGGTAAAGGAATGAAAAATTAACAAAGAGAGAGATGTTCATTGCCTTTTTGATGTTTATTTCATGTCTGAATCTGCCACCAGTCTTCTTTTCTCCTTCCTAAAATAAAAGAGTCACAAGACAGCCTGCAGCACTCACCTGCAGCAAGTCTCTGCAAGATCCAGGCTATTTATTAATTCACAAAGTATCAACTTACAATCCTTGCCATTTTTCATAGTAATGTAATAGTCCATAACATCTACAACAAATTCAGCACCATTGGTTCTTATGCAATCTTAGCATATATTGATCTATAAGTAATTTACTAATAATGGGCAATATCTTGTCCAGTGGAATTAGGAAGAATGTTCCTCCTCTTAACTTTACTTGGTTTTTATTTGACCCCTTTAAGAAGGTGCAGCATCAACCAGAATCACTATGCTACTGTCTATTGTTGTATTTAAAAAATGAGGTTTTCTTCCCCACTGCCCTGAAAAAGTACTAGTATTCACTAATATTCAAAGTGACTGTGACTAAAAATAGAGGGTAGAAAGTCATCAGTGAACTGAAAAATAATTTAAGAAAGTTAAAGGGACAATTCTGTACATTCTAAGATGAGTATATAAACTATATATATATATGTATATGGAACTATAAAGTTCCATCTCTGAAGAGCACATTCCAAATAATATTAAGCCTTACAAGTGACCCACTGATTTGCTTCTCTAATTTCACAAAATATTGCTAATAAGAAAATGTTTTCCACTACTCTGTACTTCATCTAGGTCAAACATGGATTATTTTAGCACTGACAAGGAAAACAGTTTTCTGATATTCCAAACACTGATGTGCAAAACCAACACTCCTTACTGAAGTCACACCAAGCTTTTTGTACAGTATATATATATATATATATTTGTTTCATCATTATGAATTCCTAGCTGAGTTTTACTTGGAACCTGTGTTACTTAATTGGTTTCAATTATCCAAAGGGCCTAAGTCAATCTCTGTTATAAAATACTGAGTTCTTTCATATATGTGCATATAGACAAGCAATGAACCAAGATATCTTGGCTGAAGTAATGCCTGATACCTGATAAAAGGGTGCAGTGGATACTTTTGATATATAAATTATTCCACATTCAGGTAACCCATCTTAAAACTTTTGGAAGAGCTTCTGTTAATTTTTTTCTCATCTTATATTTGAAATACATCTGCCATTAGGTGGTCTCAGAACAGCAGGCAGTGCTTGCATCTCGCACAAAAAATTCACTAAAGAGATTAGCATTCATTAGGAAAGAACATAAATAGTATTTATACAGTGAGATGGCAAGAATTAGAAATTATCTTTGGTATATACCCAGATGGAATTTTAAAAATGGCTAAAAGGTGCTCAGAACTCATAACTCTGTGCTGAACATTTTCTAGAGTTATCTTTTTTCATTTCCAAATCAGTTTCTCTGGAGTACTTTCTTCTTATCTACTGTGAAGTACATGTGACTTTTTACATTCCCACTCTTCAGAGAATTCTTTTTCCCTCTGTTGCAAGAAAATGATGCAGATTTATTATTAAATTATACAATTTGAAATGACACACATTAAATTTTGGACCTTCTTGGTTAAGTTTTCCCATGGCAAGGCAAGGGATGCAGCTGTGGAGGGGGTCAGTAAGCCAATGCCTGCAGATGGGACAATCAGCAAAGCAAGGCTGAAGAGGTAACCCTTCCAGCAGAGCCATGCCAAGAATTGTCTGTAGAACAAGCCCATTCTGAGGAATCAGCACTCCCAGGTGCCTCACTGAAATGTCTCTACACCTACACACACAGCCCAGGGGACAGACAGGAAGTCAGAATTCTGGGTGCAGTTAAAGGACTGTGACCCCTTGGGGGTCACAAAGCTTTTGGGGACACCACACAACTGGAGTGCTACAATTGATGGACACAGGCTCTCTTGCTCCAAACTGAGTTAACCAGACTTCAAGTGTTAGTAACGAAGTGCTTGCAATTGAAACAATAATAACTCTGTTAAAGTCTCTAAATTCTAACCAACAAACACTTGGCTTGCACGAGAAGTGGGCTTTTTTGGCTCATTAATTGCATGGATGTGTGGGCTGGGACCTCAACCATGAAGAGACAGCACATCAAGCTGTGCTTTAGATCCAACATGAGCGTTCATCAGAGAGACCTGGTAAAATTTTTTATAATGTTTGCTTCTACATACTTTGGCAAAAGAAAAGATAGAAAACAGTTTCTTCTTAACTTGACCTGATGTTAACTTGGGAGCTAATATCATAGAACCACAGAATGGCTTGTGTTAGAAAGGACCTTAAAGACCATGCAGTTCCAATCCTACGCTTAGCTTATAGGGCCAAGTTTTAAAATCCAGGGATAAGGAAAACTGAGCACAACTATAAATAAATATAAACAAATCCTATAAAAGTAAAATAAAGTAGACTATTTCTTCACTACTGACAAACAAGTGTGTTTTATTTTAAAGTCATTACATTTTCTGATTATTCTTGTTAAGGTAGATAAGGAAATACATGAGACATATTTCATAAACTGTAATTTATTAAAACAAACAGTTTGATTTTCTCAATAAAATGTACTAATCATCTGGGGAAAAAAAAAAGTCATCAATAAATAGGTTTTCTGCATTTATTTTTACTGTGTTGACTTTGCAAAGTAAGTATTTGCATAGATTTCAGAAGTTTCTATTATTACTGTCCAAACAGCCTATTCTTCTGAAGTTCTTCAGTACTATTTGTGGTTCATACCAAATACCATAGACAGAACAATACAAATATAACAATAATTGCATTTTATGACACTGGAATAACTGGTCTTCAAGCCAAACCCAAAATTTGTTTACAAGCAAAGATAAATAAATAAGCCTTACCCTTCTCATTCTGAACAAAGCAAGAGTCTTTTCAGAGCTCTACCAAGTTTTCCACAATGTTTTCTTGCTTTCGTTTGCCAACATTTTAGTTAGAAAAATTCTGAAAGATATCTGCACCCTCAAGCCAGTTCCGGAAACAGGATAGCCCCTTGTCTCTGATCTGTTTTCTTCCCTTGTCAGTAATGACTTCTCCAGTTTGTTTCACAATCACCAGTTTAGGAATTGCTGTTATGTTGTATTTCTTCTTCAGATCACTGAGGGGAAAAAAATTGAAAATAAAACACACCATTAGGAGCATTTTACAAAAACTCCTGGTCTCTTAAGAAGGCTGCTCTGTCCAGAACACGTGGGAGAGAAGTGATGAGTGCCTGGGCTTCCTCAGAGTTTGAGGCAGAGCACTGGGTAGAGTAAGGGGATGAACAAGGCTGCAGCTGGAAGCCTACACAGTGATATCAAGCTCTTAGAGTTCAGAGAGCTGCAGGATCCTTCCTGTAAATGCTCCTCACTGCTGCCTGCAGTTTCCACAGGAGCAGAGGCTCTTGGAGATGTAAAAGATGTCCACAGAAGCAAAGTCTGACATACTCTTCCACCCTGTTTTTACTAGCCCAAACCAGATGTCATTCTGGGCCCTTTTGACAGGACAGGAGAAGGGTCTCACTTAGCATTTGATATTCATTCCCCTACAAATACGCTCAAGTGTGCCATAGTGCCACTTCCTGCAATCACCATTAAACCATTACACCATTTTGTGTAAATGGAAGAGATTGAAGCTGTTCCTTTAACTCCCTCAGTGAAACAAACTTTCTACATACAGAAAAGTGAGCAATCAAAATATTTTGAATAAGAGCCACCTATCTGTGTTGCCAAAGAAAAATTTTCAACTCCTCCTCTGCACCTTTAGAATAATAACTGGAGGACTGACAAAAAACAAGCAATAATAAAATACCCAAATTCCAGAGCACTAGCAACATCTCTCTCAAAACATACTTAAATTGCTAAATGGAAATATGCTGCCTGAGTGCCATCACCACAAGCAAGAACATTTTCTGTATGAGGTTCAAACGCCAAAGAAATTTGAGTAGAAAATAAATGTAGACATTGTTTAAAAATACTTGACACTGATCTATAGACATTCTCAGGGATAATTCCTCAGGGACCAAAAGAAAATATGCCGAAAAATAAGACTTAAGTGCAATACTGAGCCAGATAGGGCATTCCTGAAACGTGCCTTCCCTTCGGTATTCTTCCTTGAGAAAAATCAATAGGTTAAGGACACTGCTCTACTGTTATATTGGCTGAGCAATAATGCAGGGAACACTACGGAAGCAGCAATAATAGGTATGGACCAGGTTTGCTTTCTCACACTTCACTTTTGTCACAGCAAATTGTGACATACAAGCAATCAACCAACAGTCCCTACAGACCTTTCTGAAATCTGCCAAAACAGGTGAAAAAAAACATTCCAAAGCAAATGTGCATAGAAGCCATGTGAAACTACTACCACCTCATGCCACCTGAATGACAAACGAGATGGGTGGAAAACACTTCTTATTGGTTTGGTGGATGAAAAACACAATTGTAGCAATCAGAGACAGAGCACTAGGAGATGGAAGGTCATTTGGTATGGAGACTTATACTTAAATCTTACACTTTACTTTCCTAAGGGAATGCATATATCCAGCCCAGCATCTAATGTTGATCAGACAGCCTTAGGGCTGCATCAAACCAGACTGAAGCACACACAGATTTTGCTTACATTTGTGTGCAACTTGCAAGATGGATGGACCTGAAGAAGCCTCAGAAAGAGTTCTGCAGACAATGCTTCTTAATCACTGTGTACATGTGCTTGCAAAAATGACTTCTAAAACTTATTAAGATCATTCTCTCCAACAGGGACCTCAAATCCCATGACTCACCTGCACAAACCACATACGTGCCATGGGACTAACTCCAATGGCAACTCACAGTATCATTAAACCATAAATAGAAATAAAAACCTATGACATTAAGACTGAGGCAAACTGGAAGTCATAGCCAATGTTAGATTTCTTGATTCTTATGAGAAGGCTGGATGAAAGTTTCTGAGAGCACAGATTTTGTATTTCTAGATAATATTGACATTGGATGGGAGCTAATTTTCTTCACAGCAGCTCACATGGTGAGTACCAAAACAGCACTGATAACTCACCAGTGTTTTAGCTATTGCTGAGCAATGTTTATACAGCACCAGGGCCTTTCCTGTTCCTCATGCTACCATGCCAGTGAGTAGGCTGGTGGTGCACAAGAATCTGTGAGGAGGCACAGCTGGTCTCAGATGACCAAAGGATGTTCCATACCATGTGAGCCTATGATCAGCTGTAAAAGATGATGGAAGAAGGGGGAGGGGACCAACATTCAGAGCCAGGAGATTTATCTTGCCATGCAATCATTACAGGATGAGGCTTCCCTGTGCTGGAAACTGTTAAATATCTGCCCGTGAATGGGAAGTAGTGAATTAATTCCGTATCTTGCTTTGCCTGTGTATCTTCACTTTTGCTTTATCTATTAAACTGTCTTTATTTCAACCCCTAAGTTTTCTCACTTTCACCCTTCACATTCTGTCCCCCATCCCATGGGGGTAGGGAGTGACCCAGCAGCTCTCTGGGGCCTGACTGCCTATGCAGGCTGAGTCACAACACAGGTGGGTATGTTTGTGTAAGGGTTTAAGATCTATATGCAAGAGGGTTCTTGACATGCAGACAACACTGGTCAGATATAATATAGTCTTGGGAACACAAATGGTAAATTGTATACAGATGTGTAATGTGATATCTGACAACACTTGAATTAAAACAGCTTTCACTTGGAAGTGCTGTCACATGAAAATGATGGGCACCTTGCTCATCTGCTTCTAGCAGTATTCCCTATCACACAAAGCTGTAAGGATTTTCTTTTAGCTGTGAAATTTCTGCATTGTTAAATCTTAGTCATAAGCATGCACGTCACATGCTTGGGATTCAATTTTAAAGTGGCTGCTGAGATTTTGAAAGAGCAGTCTAAAAAGTCTAACTGTTCAGATACTTAACATTATTCTACCTTTGTATTTTTAACACCCCATCCTCCTCAGTATTTCTGCAGGTGCCAATCCACCCTCATACATAAAACTTCCTAATAAAAAATGAACATACAACCTTGTCATTTTCCTTTTATGGCATTCTTTATGATTCTAATTTTTACTGAGCTGTACAGGCCAACTCAGTAAATACCTGCCTACCTGGAAGCCTGCAAGAACCATTGTACACACTAGGCACCCTCACAAAAAATGACGCTTTTCACTGCAGAGTTCAGTACAAGCACAGCAGTATGTCTTTGTGTACCATTATCAAAACATCAGTCCTATTTAACAGCATTTGTTGTTGACATGTTCTGTCCTACACCTGCTTTTCCTCTCGACTACTCTCTTTCTCTTCCAAGTGCTCACTTCCTACCAGACTGTCTTCACACCCCACTTCAAGAATCAAAATCCTGTGCCTCAGGCAAAAATAAAAAAAAATGTACATTAACTTGCAGGCAGTAAAAGCATCAGGAACAGTATTTCCTATTAGTCATGCCACAGACCACATGAAGCAGCAAATGTGCAGTCCCACTTCTGGGAGGATAGTCAGGACTGACAATCCTGCTTTGAATTCAGTGTTTTGCTTCTCTGAAGGTAGGCTTGACACTGTAGTGCTAGGCTTCACACACTGCAAGTAGGAATGCTGGCTATTTCTTAAGACAAAATTCATCATCAAGAAACTCCATGCTTCTGTTGCTAAAAAGTATTTTAGATGTCATACTTAAAATTGGATCTGTTGCATCTAGAAGAAACATCAGTCTGTTCTACAATTATGTATCTTAAACACTGAAGCAACCAGCTAGGATATTTTAACCTCACTGAAGATACTAAATGCCTTCTTTACACAGTCAAAAAACCAATAACCTATTCAATAATTGCAATTAAACTTTAAAAACATTAATATATTTTAAAATAATAATATTATCTTATCAATTTTTAAAATTAGATTCTTAATTAGAACTAGTATCTAGCCAGAATTATAGTTTGGTTTAGTGAATACACATCTGCTCTTAGTTTACAAAAAATGATTCACCACTACCCTTGACACCAGACTACCAGTTAATCCAACCTAAGCACTTTGAACAGCTCCACGTGGTCCTTTACTGTTATATGCAACTTCAAAAACATTGCTTGTTCATATCCCTCTGCACTTTTTTCTTCAGTAAGCCACTGAGAACTCACAGTCATCTGGCAGGACAAGCCATGCTTCTCTACGGAACTGTGAAGGACATCACAGGATTCCACAGAAAAGCCAATTAAACTCTCTCTTTGCTTCCACTCTGCGTGACTTGAGCAGGAGCTGTCAGAAATAGGCCTCTAATCCACAGAGGATGAAGCTGTAAGCGCATTCCCATGGGCCATGCTGAACAGCTTGCTGGGCACAGGGGCTTCAAGTGCTACCTTTCTATCAGGAAACTTGCCTGCATTCTATTATGATTAGTAGATATCAAATACAATTACTGCCTGGGAAGAAGTTCTTGTGGAGAACTATTGAAAACAATATTTAAGCCAGTGGGACCTATCATTAAAAAGACCTAACATCAATTGGCAGTTGGCATCCAGGAATGAGCCAAGAAAGGATGAAATAGTTCCTGGCTTCAAGTAATTTGCTCTTGAGTTTGTCAAACTGCACTGAAAAAGCAAGATTAGCAATCATGTTCCCTCTTGAGTGAGTAGCAGGGGTGTTACACACCAGGTAGCACACTAGGATGGATTTAGAATTAAAATGAAAGCTAGAAGTTTCTAGAAGCTAGCACTAGGAAAGAGTTATTTACTAGAAGAATTAATTTGGCTGCAAGTTTTATTACCCAAACTACTTTTAAAAGTCATATTACCTTCTTGGCTTTGACACCACCTGGAAAAAAATTTTCACAATCTACTCATTTAAAGAGTGGGGGGGGAAAAAAAATCCCTTTATCAGATTTTACATGTACTTCAAGTCTCCAGTTACTGGCATTTCAGTAACCTTGAACATCTTACTTGTGCTCCTCTAATCTCAGTCTATACTTACAAGTAGCTAAATCAGATTTCTGAAAGTCATCCAAATGAGCCTCCACTCTTGACTTAGGTCATCAAAACACTCCGTTACTTACGCACAGTCATGTCCTTTCCTTTTGCTGTTTTCATTAGCAAGCTACCTACAGGAATGTCCCTTTGGAAACAGAATAGCACAGGAATTTTACGCCTCAGTTACCAGGTGCAGTGTGCCACCGCTAAACTCCAGCTGATACCGTATCTGTATGAAATTCTCCACAGTTTGCTCTGCTCTGCTTCATGTAGTTCAGTTACAAGTTTTGCTGATTCTTCATTTGCTTTTCCCAGAGCGCTGACCTACACAATGCAGACCAACCTTAGTAACAACTACCGCCGTGCTGAAAAGCAATCACTGCATCCTCACCTGCCGTTCATTTCTTTCTACCTCACTCATATCTTTAACACACGGGGTCTTTACTAACTCTTGTTCAAAGATCTTTCAGCTGCCAAACGAAGTGCGCAAAACCACACTTTAAAAAGAAAAACGTTCTTTACATACGGTACGGGCTAAAACCAAGCGAGCAGGCTGTGTCCGTGTGTGACAGCCAGCGGCAGCCGCGGCTCGGGGCGGGGGCGCGGCCGGGAGACGCTCCAACCTGGGACCCAGGGACTTCAGCAGGAAGGCAGGCGCGGGATAAGGGGGCAGAGGTAGAGGTTCCGAGGAGTTTCAGGGACTTACTTCCCTGTTAGGGCTGTTCAGGTGCAACCCCCTCCCTCTCCCGGCCCTCGGGGCAGGGGCTCCGGACCGCGCTGGGTACTCACTGCTTGTAGGGGTCGTGGAAGGGCAGGGCCAGCCAGTCGCCGTGCATGGAGCGCATGTAGCCCACCATCTCCTCGGCGCTGTGGTCGGAGGAGATGAAGACGACCTCGAAGGGGGCGGGGGGCTCCGTCTCCTCCAGCAGCTCCGTGTAGAAGTCGCAGAGGACGGGGGTGAAGTCGCGGCACGGCGAGCACCAGCCGGCGGAGAAATACAAGCCCACGACCTTGTTCTGCAAGGCCTCCTCGGGGTCCACGCTCCGGCCATCCTTGCTGACCAGGAGCCGCCCGCTGAACACATCCACCATGCTGGCACGGCCGGACCCGCGACGGGCACCGCGGCGGCTGCGAGACCGGGCGCGCTCCCCCGGGCGCGCTCCCCCGGGCGCGCTCCCCCGGGCGCGCTCCC